TGAGGACCCGAAACGCGAGTAGGGCCCAACCAACTGGACTGCAGGCTACAAGTTTGGTAGCTTGGGATGTGGGAAGACATTTGGCCAAAGAGGTAGCAGCTGGCAGGACGGGAAGTAACTCAGCCATGCCAGAACACATGGGAACCTGTTGGTGCTTGTCCATAAAGGTTGGTTTTTGTTACCTCCAATGTTTTTGCAAGTTTCATGGGGAAATGATCATACTGTATCACATGCCATTGTTTTTTTAAAGATAAACCAAGCTTGGAGCTCATGTGCCCCTTCTTTCAAGGGTCGTTTCACCCTTGCCAGGATCTCCGCAAAAGTGGCCCAGGAAGAAATGCGGATTGAAGCACTGGGACGGAACGTGGCAAGGATTGCTGCCGTGCTGATCTTTCAATTAATTCCAGTGGCATGTCCAAATCACTTTGCTTCCGGGGATGTCTGCACACTTCTGTCCATCCTCAAGTCGGCGCCTGTCGCTGCCGATCTTCTTTTGGTCAACCAGGACCTTGCTGGCTTCTTCACCAGCATTGATCAAGACCGATTCATTGGAGCTTGGTTCATGCTCCTAGATTTCCTTCGACCCCACATGGATGTGTCAGACAACGAAGCATTCTCGGTCTATCCAGGAAAGACCAACAATCCAGGAGACATCATCAAAGGCCGTACCTTCCGTCGCCTGAACGCCACCAGAAAGATCATCATCAAGGATGTCCCGGACCTGCTCAGGTCAGCACTGAATATGCAGACATTCGCTCTTGGTCACCAATGTCTTCAACAGAGTCGTGGCAGCCCTATGGGCAGCCCACTGTCACCGGCACTCTGCCTCATGGTTGTCTCCATTAGCGAACAAATTTGGTCAATCAACTTCTAACAAATCCTTTCCAATCACAACTTGTTCGTTCGCCACATCCGATATGTGGACAGCCGCCTCATGTTTGGGGATTCTCGCCTTCGAGGCCTCCCACCATATGAAGTGCTGCTTGATGAAGATTTCTACGGAGAACCCATCATCCTCGAAACCGAACCTGATCAAGAATTCCTCGGTTTCATGCTGGAGACAAAACCACTGGAGCTGATCTGTCAAGGTCCTTACCAACATCTCCCAAGTCTTATCTCCGTTCTCGGCTTCTCCACCCAAAGTCCTCTTGAGTGGATGTCGATCCCGCTGCCACATTGTTGTCAAAGGAGCATTTCCGGACTTCCGTGTTCAACAACAAAACTCGAGACGACCAGCGATTTTTGCTCATGCGTCTGAAGGTTCTGATGCTGAATCAAAATCTGAGAAGAGATGGTGTGGAGTTCCTCATTGGGAAAACCAGCCAGGGTATACAAATGAATTAATTGGTTGAGCCCTTGTCTCCTCTCCTTTGTGTTGCTTTTGTTGTGCGTTGTTCTCTCCTCTCCGTGTTGTGTTAGCCTGGCTCAAACCCGCTTTCCTGTTTTTCGTCACCGCGTGCTCTACTTTACCATGGATCACGCCCAAGGCCGGGAATTTCATCATCACCTGGCTCGGGCCAGAATGCACTTGAACTGCCTGGCGGGGCTTCTTCCCTTTTTCGAACGTAACCATCAATCAAATGGGATGACCCACCCAGCGAAAACTATCCTCGTTCTGGGCGTTCAAATCCAGCCCCACGAAATCTTCATACATTTGTTCCTTTTCCTGGCTCTTCCACAACACCGACAATGGCATCTCATGGGGGCGTTCCCACCCATATGGTATTGAACCCAGAACCGCACCTTCGGCCACTTAACATTACCAGCCGTCCACGCGATGATGAGGGCCACCCTCCCTTTGGGTTTACCGCACGAAATCCGACTTCAGCAGCCTGTCCTCCATCAATCCCTGTTCCAAGGCTACCAGCACCTGACTTCCCTCGTGCAACAACCTGAACAACAACGGCTGTCCCTGTTCGATCAAAACAAAGATCAAATCCTTCCGAAGATCCACAACCAAAGAAGAAACAGCGTATGGTCATCTCGTCGCATCAGTCGACCTTACGCCCTACCCTACTCCTCTACCAATCATTGAAGAAGTTCCTCCTGACGGCTTCAATTCAGAGGACTCAGGCGAAGAAGTGGTCTCCAGGGCCCCCTGAGTCCAGACCACGTCAGCAGTTGACGCTGGCCCTGTCACCACTTTGCCGATTGACAACCAAACCACCTCCAGGAACTTCAACTCCAACAGATCCTCCACCGAACCCCACCATTCGCCTCCTCCAACCGTCAGAATCCGACCGGGGCAATCCTCCTTCGTCTATCCGCCCTTGGACAGACATTGAAGACCAAGAACTGATCAATTTCAAGAATGACAGTAAATCACGCCCTTCATGGAAATCGATTGGCGCCAGATTACGACGTGATCCTCAGACGTGCAAAATTCGTTGGAACCTTCTGAAGCAAATGTCCGACCAGCATGGCACGGAGACGCCTCGACACGAACCAGAGGCAGAGGACTAAACGACAGCGTGTGAAAAAGACGTAGCTTCAGTTCTCTGATTCTTGATTCCTCTTTCTGCTTAGTTTGTTCGTTTCTCCTATCTGGTTCTTGACTTCTTTTCGGCTTAACCAATCTCAACTTTTCCACTTTACTTAGTCATTATGGCTCATCCATCTAGTTATGTACCTGTGGCCCCAGATCGCTCCCATTCCCGGGATGATCCGCCCATGTGGAGCCACCCAACTCCTGATCGACCCCGAAATCCACATCATCAAGAACCATGGCACTATACTCCACCACTACGCCATACTAGAAGAGTGCTGGTCATCATCAACCTAGAGCAGGTCCAACATCTCATGTTGGCGCGTCACAGTGATGCCATGCAAGCCACTACATGCAGTACATTACCTTCACTCGGCCGACTTGAACAGTATGCACTGTTCACATATAGCTCCTTGGTCAGTCCAGCTCAAACCCAATTCTCTCGGTTGACACTATGCTCTACTACATCAGTCAGCATATCAACAACACCTGGGGCTTCTACTTGGAACCTGCATCAATGGATCTTCGCTGGCAAGATCGTGCAGGAAACACCTTCGCTCTACGCAATCATCAGATCCTCATTGATCTGCTACGTGAACACCGTCCACACTGGACTGAAGGCCAAGAATTTGGGATCTTGAATGAAATTCGGGATTTGGACTCTCCAAATCAACCGATATCAACCGTACACTATGCGCATGAGTTACCACCAGGCACTTCCAAACCCAAACATGCTACCGTGACTCACTGCCGACAAAAGGAATGTCCTGCTGGATGCATTTTGTTCCTTCAAGCAGTCTTTCTCTCGTTCTCTCTCTATTTACACTTTTAATGTTTCTTCTGGTCTTTTTGGCTTAAGTCTCGATCATGACTAAACGGGATTCCTCCTTTGCCGGCATTGATTCCCCCCGTGTCCCAATGAGCGTCCCACGACGTCATTTTGCCATTCGACTCCAACATGGAAGCGGCGCTGCTTCTTCGGAGACTGCTTCATCATCGACCAATGCAAGGGTGCCCTTGCCATCTGACATGAACCCTCCTCAACGACGACCTGATGAAACAGGAACGAATGTGGAAGCTCGTCACTTCGGCTATACGGCGATGATCCCTCCTGTTCCTTTACCACATGGATATACATCCGACCACCAAGGGGAAGCATATCCATTACAATCGGAAATGTCACAAAGTCATCGGGTGCTTCACACTCACATTTTCAAGGAGGTAATGTCGCCTCCCGAGTCAGGCCGTCCCAGTCGCCTAATGGTGACGGAGGTTGACCGCTATGGAGTTGAACGGAACCGTCAACCGGAATTCTTCTATATTCTTCTTCAATGGAATTGTTGGTCATGTGCGCTCCTATGATGGTGGAAACATCAATAGTTGACATCAAGCCCTCGGCTTGCCAATTACTGGCGTCGGTACTACAACATTCCCGAAGCACATGGTGAAGACACTTCTTGGACTTCCTCGTGGCAAAACTACCAGCGATCGTCTGACAATGCTGACAATGCGACTGGATCACATAAGGAACAGCCAGAATCTGACATGGATGATGTTACATCTGTCACTGCCGAGACAGGCAATGTGCCGATTCCAAGTCAGATCCACCGTCCGGGGCTCAAAACTTGTGGCACTGTGGAAAAAGCATTGCTCCAACCGGCTGATTCCAAGAGATGTAAGTTATAAGAGAAGTAAGTTCTAAGTTATTATAAGTTGTAAGAATTCATAAGACATGTTTCAATGATATGAGTTAGGGTTGTCCAAATCGCTTCTCATCACATACTTCATCATACTTCAGATTTCATGCCCATTAGGCCCATTAGTTCCCTCATGTTCGTTGTTTCGTTTTCACAAATCTGTGGCTGGCGGCGATCTCCAGAGTGGTGCCAGGGGTCAGGCCAATGGACATTGGGCGTTGTGGGCGGCCACCCTCCTGTCATGTCATGTGTCACTGAACATCACTGCATGAATTTTATGAACTTAACGATATGTGAAATGTTGATGTCAGGCAGGACAAGCTATTATTTCTATTGTGCAACGCTAATGCGATAAGTATGAGAATGGAGCGAAGCGTAAGGATGTCTATGCTATGGATGTGTTGATGTAACTTGGATTCAAGCGATCGAAGTTTCCAGATCACACGTTGGCTCTTTCTTACGCCAGGGGTCGAATCCTGACGGCATGGCAAGACTCATGAACGGCGAAAATGTTTGAGAGGAAACTGTTGAAATCAAATGAAGTTCGAAGTTGGATTTCTAACTAATTTAGAGTGGAAAATTGCCCACCGTTAAAGAGTGGTGCCGTGCCAAAAGTATTTGCAGCGCATGTTTCTGTCAAGTCAAAGCGCTTGAAGCATGTTGAAGCATCTTGAAGCTTGAAAAAGTTTGATCTGGAGACCAACGCACTACCAATGAACCGATCAAGGTAGGAGGTGTGCTTGAAGCTGCACAGCACCAGGGCCAGCACGAGTGAGGAATCCTCGCAAGTTGTGTTTGCTAAGCCTTTTGGTTCAAAATGCAGCACAGCTGCTTGTAGCAATGATACGAATGAAGCTCTTTGTGGCAGCGCTAGCTGCCACAGTGGCCAATGGAGCGAAATTTGTGAGCTCCCGCACTTCAAACGCTGGAGATTTCAAGATATTGGAAAAGCAGATACTTGATTCCAATTGATTCCAGTGATCAATGTAACTGAAGTCCGTGTGCTGCCCTGCATGGGAATCCATGTTCGGTGTCACTGTCAATCTGCCAATGTGTTTTTTTCCACAATGTAGCGGGCTTCTGGTGTCCCGCTGGTCTTAAGATTTTGAAATGACTATATATTAGCGCATGTTGCTCAAACATGTTGGGTATTTTGGTTGGTGGATGAGATCTACTTTCTTCGCAGATGTAGCAATGTTGAATATGTTGAATTTGACTGAGGAAATGCAAAGGAGAACCCTACACCAAGCACGAGGACAAGTATTGTGATGGATGGACTGGAATCACCCTGGAAGAGTGCCGAGCAAAATGTGCCAATGGCGAGGCAGAATCAGAGATGGTGACAGGTAGCACCTGGGTGTTCTCTACACATCTACACATTCTTCGTATTCAGAGAAAATGTGCAAAAAGAATTTTTTTCATGTTCTTTTTCCAAATCTTGTGATTCATGTTGTGCTTTTTGGGTGCTCTTCCAAGAGAAGCGTCAATGAAGCTATACACTGCTCTTGCAAGGTCGTTCAAGTCACTCCCACACGATTGTACTTTATTGTATTTGGCTCAGGGTTCCCGCCTTCAATCAGAAAATACTTAATCAGCAGATATCACCAGTGCCCACTGGCACTCATTCCCAGCTCTGACAGGACTCTCAGGAACCAGTCTTAGATCCAGGTCATTCGTACGGTGTTCAATGTCGTATTCACAATTAATTATTCAATTATATATTATATATTCGTTCGGATCACTGGCTTTTCGTTTGGTGACGTTCGGCATTTGTTTTGCGTTGGATAGCTTGGAGCCTTCCCAACTGTGTCTTCGTTTGCGTGTCGTCCTTAGGATTCCTTTCAAACGGTTGTGCTTTGGTTTCCCTATGTTTCCCTTGTGTATCACCGTAGTCCTTTCTTTGCTGTGCTGAGATCCCTGGGCTCGCCCCGCGGCTGTCAAGCTTCGTGCTTTCTGTTTTGGTTGCTATTCCTTTGTCCCCAGATTTTTTCATGAAGTACTTAAGGAAAATTGATGAAAATTGCACCTTTGTCTCCGGGCCATGTGAAATCCTTGAAATTGTAAGTGATCCATAAATCTTTTGACAAATTGCGCCTGTGTATTGCAGCACGGTAGAGCTACTAAGAAGCCAGGTGGCTGAGCGGTGGCTAAGAAGGGATATATGACATATGGCTGCAGATCAACATGTAAAGGCCCGATCCATACCCCGGACCCACATGCGATCCATACCCATGATCCATACCCATGATCCATACCACTTTAGAGGATATGATCCATACCCACGATCCATACCCATGATCCATACCTCAGTAATTGCAACCACTTTTTGAAGAGGTCCGGGACAAGACCCTTTTGAAGAGGTCCGGAACAAGACCCTTGATGACAACTCCTCGTTCCAGACGTCCGGATCACCACGTAATGATCCATACCCGTTTTTTGATCCATACCGTACCCATATTGTAATTCTGGATACTCTGTGCATACAGTTCTCGGTTTCGACTACATTTCAAATGTCGAATTGCTGCACCAGGTTGCACCCAATTGCCCTGCTGAAACATGCAAGGCCTTTTCTTTGGGGGATGGAGTGGGACTGTTTGCGTATGTGAGAAGGAACCAATCCTTCTTGTGTCTTCCTGTTTTGCACTTCACATGTGATGAGAGAGCGACAGCCAAGAATGCAAGCACCGACCAGCATTTAGCATGATTGCAACATGCTACGACGTTATTTCCAGCAGCTGCAGATCACAATGACAGATTTTCACAATCTATGAGCTGACGATTGGTTTGCACACTGTAGGTGGTCCTCAGCAACAAACCCTATGCATAACCAAACTCTGGCAGAGCGAGCTGGTAAACCTGACAGGCTGCAAGCTTCTTCCCTGGCAGCATGAAGTGTCACCTCTTCAACGAATGCCACGAGTTGGAGGATGACTTCGGGGCAACAGGAGCCGAAGGGATTCCGAAGGGATTCCAAGGGGATTCAATGGCTTCACTCGCTGATCTTCTTCGTTCAAGATTTCTCAGTTGATTAAATTGGCAAAGCTTTTCTTATGTTTTATTTGAAAGTCTGAATTGACCATGCCTGCGCCTTTCAAGATAGGACTCGCATGGAATCGCCTTTAGACAAGAGACTCTCATGAGACCTGAAATCTGACGTGTTCTTCTCAAGCTTAGCAACGCTGACAAGCCGAGACACGACCTGATCCACATTGATCGGCTTCAATCACCTGAGTTTCAAAATGCTTAGCAAAGTGGGACATTGTGACCAGGCATCGTGAAGACTGACGTGCTGAAGAAGATCGTTTCCTGGAGGATTGACATGTTCCATCATGTTCCACACTAGCATCGATCAATTTGGCGTTTTATGCGTGTCGAAGTTTCGGCATTCGAAACGTCAGCCCGTTTCGACACTTTTCTAAGGAAGAGACCCCAAAGAAGGAGCCCAAGCAGAGGCCAACCGGCCCCGTGGCAGAACTGGCCATAGCACTTCCCATCGTTCTGGTCAATCTGAGCAACTTCTCCGGGCAGTTGCTTTGCAAAATTTTGCAACTGACAAAGCGTGAATAAGTTTTGGATAATCCTAGGGTGAAATCAAAAGAAAATTTATATATCATCTTGCGGACTGAAGTGAGCACCTCATCAAGGGTGCTTTCAGGGTCAAATGCATAATTTGGTGATTTGATGTAATTTGGTGACTTACTATATAGTTCTTGTTGTACCTCTTCCTCTTCCTGATTCCCCATGCAGTGCGTGCACTGAAGAAGTTCTCTCCGTCAGGGCGCGGCTATGTCGTTGACCTTTACGTCAAAAGCGCTCCTCCATCATCCTCCATCTTGCATTTTCGAAGGAAGTCTCGTAACTCCGGCCGCGAGAGCTCTCTTCGTTCTCGCCTGCGCGCCGTGTCTGTTTTGGACAGCGCAGTCGTGGCCGCAAGGGAAAGCTGTGAGCTCACATTGGTTCCTCTAGGAATGCGATGGCGCAAGGAACTCGTCACGTGCAAAATGTGGAACCGTTTGTGTTGAGGTGCAAGAACGCTTGCAGCAGACTTGCAGGCCACAAAATCATCGTGCCCGAACAGGGTGACTTTTTCGTGGCAGGCACAGCGTTTCGATGCGTTTCGTGATCTTGAGCATTCTTTTTAAGAGCTCAAAACGCTCGTTTTGCGAGATTGTCGTCGTTTTTGGATCCGCTATGTCGGGATCATTTTGCATGCCAGGCACGGCGTTTTTCATGCCTCGGGATCACTTTTTTCGTGGCAGGCGACATGAACACGTGATATCGCAACACCCAGTGGTACAGAGACATCAGATTCCTTGCAGCGCTCTGTTTCTTTTGGCGTTTCGCTAGCAGTGCAAAGGTTCCTTTTGCTTACACAAAGTTTTCTTTGCGGACTGCGGGTCGGATGCCTCTCGCCTGCGTGGGGCGTTCGTTTTTGTTTTTGTTAAAGCGATTTTGCCAAGGGATCTGCCAGAGATCTTGACAGATCTCCTGCAAGGACCTTGCACAAAGATCTCCTACAGGGATCTTGAAAAGAGTTCTCCCACAATGATTTTGCCGAGAAACCTCTTATAGAGAGTTTCTACAAAGATGCTCGTATTTTATAAAGATCTCCTAAACATTCCTAAAATTTTCTTGCCAAGAGGGATCTTTGCCAAGAGATCTCCAATAGACAAAGATCTCCTACAATGATCTTGCCAAGAGACCTCGCATACTGATCCTGCCAGGAGACCTCCTGTAGAGAGCTTCCACAGGGATCACGCACAGAGTTCCTCTAGAGATCTTCTATAGAGCCCCTTGCACAGAGACCTCCTACAAAGGTCTCCTACAGCGACCGCTTCCATACTGGAAAACAGATTTGTTTGCATGCACACAGGCCTGTTGCCCATGTTGTCACGTTTTCTTTCGATCCCGGTGGGGTCTCTTGCCGGGACAATGTTTCTTTGGGGTAGCGGTCGTGAAAGAATGCGCAAGGAATTGTTGATGGAGTGACTACTTATATATTCTTTGTACGATTTTGTACGATATTATGGAGTACGTTTTTGTATGATTTAGTTGGGAGTTTAGTGTAATTATTGTTTTCTTATGTTTTTGCATTTTCCGGGTAAACGCCTGCAAACACCAAGGCAAGTAGTAGGCTCGAAGTCTTGTGTTTGTCAGTCAACGTATGTTCTCCAAGGATCACAAATCACCGTCCTCTGTCTCACCACTACGTCTTTGGCAACATCAGCGCTGATTTGGCTTCTCAGCAAGAACTTGAGAAGTGAGAAGTGATGAGCAGAAACATCAGGTATCATCAGGTCATTTCAACAGGCCGAAGATATCTCGAGGTCGCCTGTAGTGAACTCATGAATTGAAGCTGGAAATTCCTTCATGTCTTCATTCATCGTGTTTGGCGCTGCTCAGGAGATGTTGTACGACAAAGCTGCAGGTTTCTACAGTGTTTTGCATGAGAGCATGGCTGGTACTGATGGCCTTCGCTTCTGTCCAACACGATCTGAAGGGAACATCATGGAATCTTGCTGCATCGACTTTGTTTTTTCAGTTGAATTGAAAGAAATGAAACACATAATACATATGACATAGTCACATAGTTGTTTGGATGTAGACTACCCTGCTAAAATAATGGGAAGCTTTCTTCGGCCACGAGCCCAGGAGTGCATTCGCTTGGCAACCTGTGTGGTGGAACGCAATGCAGGCAATGGACCGAAGCAGATCCCCATGGCCACTTACGCCCCTTGGTGAGCTTGGCAAAATATACCAACATGACTTTAACATATATTGTAACATGACCAACACTTGGTGAGTTTCAAATATGTGTGTTGACAACTTCACCAGTAAGCACGTAACATTTTGTAACAGTCAGCCAACAACTCGGCACATGAGTTTCTTGGAGTTGAGAAGCGAGGCATAGCAAGACTGTTCTGACAAATCATTCGGAATCATGATGAAATATGATGAATCATGCTTCATGCATCTCCATGCCGTCACAAATTCTGGGAATCGATCAGTCACTTACAGTTGTCAAATCTCACGGGAGAAGTGAGAGAGGTTTGGTAGCAAGACCATGTAAGACCCCTCAACGGCTGACCTGTCAAAAAACGATTTTCAATCACTTGCTTTTGCAACCTCCAAGGGTTTCCAACTGCCAATCCAGAATTCAAGCCTTCGTGGGAAATGAATGGAAATGGGAAAGGTATGGAAAGCATGTAAAAACATATGAAAGCATCCTCTTTAACAAGGTTGTCAGATGGGATGCCCGTTCTCAGTTTTCGAGCCCCCGTCTCCCATTAGGCGTGCAGCTTAGGCACTTATCGAGGAGCTCGTCACACGGTTCGAAACGATTACGTGGCCATTGCTGAGTTTTGGACTGCACGGGATGCGGCTTGGGATCACTGTACCCAGCAGCCAGAAATCAAAAGATTCAAAGGAAGATTAAGGAAAATTAATAAACTGAATGTTTCATATTATGGAATGTTTCGATATGTTTCGATTAATGTTGAAAAATGTTTCTTCATGTTTGACGGGTCCACCATTAGACAACTATACATTGAAATGTGGGTTCGCAACGGGTGCCCGAGGAAAGACGCCCTCGTGAAAGAAGAAGGTCAATTGGATTTGATCAAGGAGGAGACGGTCAGACAAGGTGACAGGTGACCAGGTGACCTAGCGTACTGGATGCATTTGGATGCCATGTCATTGTTAAAGGTTGAACATGGTTGAACAATGTTCATAATCAAACGGACCACCAAACTAAATTTCGCTCCCAGTGCAGACAGGTGAGTTTCGTTGCGTTCCACAAATTGATGTGCAGACATGGAACATAACAACACACAGGTAGCACATAAGGTCACGGTCCAAGAAAGCGGACTGCAGCTGCGGAAAGGTTTACAATGTGTTTTTTTTGCCTCGATAGGTCGCAGAAGGTGATTCAGTGGAAATGCTGTTGGTCGTTTGAAATGATTGCTAAAGCTGGCGTGTGGTCATGCAAAATCATAAAAAGGCTCGCTGGCAGAAGCCCGCGGAAGAGCGGAACACTTGTGGTTGCGGAAGCACGGCGCAAGAAGCAGTCTTTGCGTTCACTCATGAGGCAAAAGACAAACAGAACTCTGTTTGCTTAGCAAGTGGGGGCTTTTTCAGAGAGGACATGTTGCGTGACCGTTCTTGCTTCACGGTCCTGGAGGACATTTCCGATAGCAAATGCTGATGGGGAAAAAGTTCGCCGGCAACCCTTTTCAGAAAGATGTTGTTTTTAGCTCCAGAAACCTTTCACTCGTCTGTCTGCTAGGAAGGTCCAATAAGTTCGAAAATCTCGCCTCCGCCTGGGGATTGGAATCTGCAGTTGTTTTTTGGGGGTCATGTGCTACTGTGCAAAATGGAGATGGGGTAAGGACTCCCTCCAGGCACATGTGCAAAAGACAATAATTAGGCATCTTGGGAGGTTGGTAGTTAGTTGTTGGTTGATGTTGGTAGTTGATGTAGTTGGTTCATGTTGGTTCTTCAGGTTGCATTTGCATTGGAAGATCGTCAAGAAGTCCCTAAACTTAAAGAGGTCAGGTTAGTCAGATTCCTTACGGTTCCTTGATTGTTTGGGGATGTTTGGGGAAGATTATCTGTCAAACTTTGATCATAAGCGTCAGGTTCTTGTTTGTCGTGCATTTTGATTTTGCAATGCTGTTTGCGTGGTGTTTGATAACACGCTCTTCTGTTCTGGCCTCGTGGTCTTTGACCCTGCGTAGGCATTGCAAAATGGCAATGGCATGCAATGGCTAAATGGCTAAAGGTGTGCATGTCGAGATGCTCTGAGGCACAACTGATGTGCCCAAACTTTCGTAGCGTCTCTGCACATGCCTTTCACATCAAGACTGCAGTGCTGAGACGTGTTTATGCAGACGTTCGTGCCCATCGGAAGATTGGAACCGCTATTCTGAAACCTGATGTTTGTACCATTTTGATCCATTGTGATCCATTTTGTACCTATAGGTATTGGTGCCCACAGGAAAACTGCTGTGCCTAAACGGAGCTCCTTGCCTGCGCGTGCTCTGAGGCACATAAGAATCGTTGTGCCTAACCCCACCACCTGCATCACCTACCATCACCTACCCTTAGGCATCCTTAGACACATTTTGATCGCTGTGCCTGCCTTGAGGCATCTTGATGCAAGATTGCTTGCCTCAATATTTGTATTATATATTTGTACCGTCTTTACTGTCTCTTGAACGACGCTGTATGATCTGTGGCCCCTGAGGATCCCTGAGGCACAGAAGTTCGACCTGAGAAATTGTTGTGCCGCTGTACATTTCCTGATGCCTTGGCACAACTGCTCTGTGCCCAACTCACCAGGCTGTCCTCAAAACGCTGCCGGCTATTCCAATCATTCCACCATTCTCAGGTTAGGGGAACACTTGATGGAGTTATGGAAGACACGTTCCTTGGTGCTGGGGCTTTTAGGCGCTTGTTTTGAGTGCCATCATGTGCAAAATTCTGGAAGAAAGGTACCATTTTGGGAACAAGTTTGTTTCGACCGTTCGACGCTTCCAGGTGGTTTGGGCCGTCTAAAGATCAAAGTTTTTGCACTTTGGGATTCCAAATTTTCCAAAGCTCGCCTTAAAGTGGTCCTCCTGAATGCTCCGAAGTTCGAGGGCAGGATTCACATTCATTTCCAAAGATCCGATGCTTGAGGTTTGCAGTGATTTTTCAAGGCATTCTTCCCGAAAAGACTACGAATGAAAGGCAGGCACAATGAAAGTGGAGTGATAGATTTTTCAACAAGCTGCAATCCGATACAAGCGCCACTGAAATACATCAACTAGATACGGAATAGAAATTCAAATGCAAACATTTAAGTTAAAGGAAGCAGGTGAAACAAAAGTGTGACTGAAGCTCTCCCAAGCCAACTTGAAGACTTGGAGGACAGGAATGGACAGATTGCTAACATTTGCTAGCTCGGCTGACCTCCGTGGGTCTGTTGGTGGAGAGTCCTTCACCTTCCTAAGAAGACCTTTCTGTTGTGAGCTTCTTGGTTTGGCCATACCAAAGTTGCAGCACCAACAACGGCGAGACAAGAGCTTCACGACATTTCAACAGCACGTGCAAAGGTTTGACCAAAGCAGTCTTCCACACGAATGACAATAGCTTCGTGTGATGAGAAATGCGGTTCAAACATTACATACTGTTGGAACCACACAACCATATGTTATCAGCCTTGTTGATACTTTCATGATTCATAATCTTTCATATACCTTCTAAAGCCACACCAATATACCACATCATACCTCCATATCCTCTCTATACCTGTCGTCGATCCTTTTACCATCTCTTTCCTCTTTGGAATTCGGATCAATTCTGAAAGGAACAATTCTGAAAGGAACACTGAATTGTGAAAAATTGTGAAGTCTTGTGAAATATTGTGAAACTGTGCCAGGACAAAGCGATACCTGCAACCTATAAATGCGTGGCCAGCGAGGAGATCACTTCCGATGAAGTCTCTGTGCCAGGTCGAAAAGGGCCCCAGGAACTTTCGAAGCAGAACTGGAGTTGATACATATTCTGCACATACATGTACATCATTTACATATACATAATACATATACATATTATACAAATAATATATATATATATTTATTTATTTATTTGCTATTACATATCTATACTGGTTCGTTGAAATGAGGAGTCCTCATTGAGGACCCTGCTTTTCCACTTGCACTGGTGGGTTGGAAGGATCGTTTCATGCTGAACGTGTGGGTAAAGGCGGTAAAGGCTGTCTGGTTTGAGCACACTGAAGCCCCGAAATGCCCCGAATCTGCACTTTGAAGCAGGGCCTGCTGCCTTTTTGTTCAGTGAAAAATTGAGGTTTTGAAAGTTTACGAAGTTTCTCTAAATTACTCGAAGTTACTCGGTTCTTTGACAAAGCATTTTTCTGACCACTTAGCAAGTTGTTTGCTGCCGTTGAAGCTGACAGTTGTGACAGTTGGGTCCTTTTTGCAAAGCGAGCATGCCATGTCCAACGCTTTGGCCAGTGCAACACGAGGCAGGTGACAGCACTAGCGCTAACTCAGGGATTCCAAAGTAAGCACAGAAAATCCAAAGTAAGCACTTCATTTAAGAAAATGTGAACAACATGCAGCTTCTTCTGGCTCGTGTTTGGTCCAATTGGTTGATGGACAAGGAAACTGAGTGCAAGAATTTGAGTGTCGAGCGCCGACAGTTTAGATTTCTGACCACCGACTGTTTCCATGCAAATGAAGGCATTTGAGACACGAGCGCAGGTACTCACAAAGTTTTGGATTCTCATTCGGAAAACTCCTCGTTCAAGTTGACTCAGCATCGTCTTGCAGAACTTTGGCATCCTATTTGCAAAGAGTTGCCTGGCACTACGTGATTTTAGGCGATTCCAATTATTTGCTTTGCTTGCTGCTGGGTCTTTGTGCATATCGATGTTTGTTGACCTGAAAGGTGTGCACATGCTGTATGTTTCATCTTGGTGTAACAGGTTCCAGCGAGCTATACGAGATAGAATGGTTCAATCGGATTTTTGCCCTATCTCTACTAGAAGAAGACCATGTAGCAGATTTTCATGCGGAACCTTCCGTTGTGTGGCATGTAAACCTTTGCGGTGAAGACTTGCTGAGTAAACACAAGTTTTGTAAAAGTTTGGTTCCCTTGAAACACATACATTCAAGTTGTGTCACGAAAGGCTTTTGTTGCGAAACAGGTTTGTCGCAGAAACGAAAATTGCGTAAATGATTCACCTTGTCAACATTTTGTTACGTACACATTGTTTTGAGAAGACGGTAGCGATGCGTGGAGATTCAGTAGAACATGAAAGCAAATTGCGTGGAAAACAAATCAGATACAACGCAATGCAACAAATACAACAACGACATACGAAAGCAAAAAAGTAATTCATTGAAACATGACGAAGCAAATAGCAGCTGCACAAAGAAACCGTTTTTTTGCTTTTAGTTGAAGGCTTGCTTGAGCTGTGCCGTGTGACAGGAAGTCGAGGAAGAAAAGGAAGTGGAGAGTCCAGCAGATGCGAGGAATAGGAAGGTGGACCAGGATGAAGAGAATGAAGGAGAGACACAGAAATAAGACAAATAAGAAATAATAACATGAAATAGCAGAACTGTGACAGAAGGAATTGCAAAGAGAAAAGAAAGCGTCAGACAAAGCAAACTCAAAAGCCAACGAAGCGGAAAAAAGGAATCTGAATCTTGAGCAGCGATGAGGAGAGGCATGGAAAGGCAGACATAAGGCCACTTGCACTCGCGATTAGACACACCAGCAAGACCCGTAACTCGGATTCAGTGACAAACTCAGTGATTTCAATCATTTAAGTGGTGTGTAATTAAAGAAACGCTTGTGTCCATTCGTCTTTGAATGTGTTTCCGAAGGGGACATGAACATTTGGAACTCCTATAACTTCACACAACTTCACACAACTTTCCACTTTGTCACAGCTCCACGGCTTTACGCGTCCAACTTCACGCGCACATGGTATTTTTTGCGCACTTTCCCGTGCTACAGACCGAAGAAGTTGTTGTTCTTGCTGCTGTCGTTCTTCTTTTGTGTTGTCTTGTTTGGTCGTTGTCTTGTTGTCGGTGTTACTGTGGCTTCTGTCGTTGGTGTTGTCCTTAATATGTTCATCTTTCATGTTGTGAATGGTTCAGGTTGGTGTTGTCGTTGTTATGATTGTCATAGTTTAAGTTTATGTTGTTGTTGCTGCGACCGATGTGGTCGTTGGTTGTTTTTTGTTTCTCTTGAAGTGCTTCTTGTTGTTGTCGGTGACAGTTGTATTGCTGCCAGTTGTTGTTTGTGTTGTTTTTGAATGGTTTTGGCTTGAGTGTGTTGTCTTTGCAAGTGTGTTGTTGGTGGTGCGCTTGTGGTTGTTGATGTCTTCTGAAAGATCGCATCCTATGAAAGGTGCACTTCTTTTTAATCCCTCACAGGGTCAGTGGCAGCCGAGGCTGTCTTGTGACCCCACCAGCTACATCGACATCTACCCGGTGTCCCACAAGCACACGTTGAAGCTGATGCAGACGGCCAGTGCAAGCCATGTTGGTTCTCACATCAGGAGGGGCCATGGGACGCCATGGGCGGTCACACCATGTCACAATGCTTTGGTACCCAAGGTCGAAAACTTGCAATGTGCTTGGTATGTCATGACATGAATAATGAATAATAGTGAGAAATCATAGGAACCACATGCCCAAAAGGCGCATAGTTCTGCACCATAGGCCCACATGTTTTTCGTTTGTTGTCCGTTTTTTTCAGGGAATTAGGGGTCTGGAGGTGGGCCTAAGTTTGGTTCATAACCTTGCTTTTTGGTTATGCAGCTACATCCACATACATCCACATACATCCGCATACATCCACATACATCCACATACCACTATCATACCACTCAGGTCACTCCAACAATTTTCTCTTCCTATAGGCAAATCACTTTGGAAACTTCCGCCACCGCTTTGTGCGTTTCTGTGTTATGATGTAATGCAATGTAATTTCATGAAACGGAATGGAATGGAATGTAAAGTAATGTAAAGTAATGTAATGACAAGTAATTCAATGTAATGCAAAGTAATTTAAAGTCCTAAAGTAACGTAATGCACGTAAAGATGTGTTCATATACAATTGGCAAATGGTATACAGATACATGCGCGCATCTCACCAAAGTCATCCACCATACTGAACTTCATAGCCTTAGATTTGCTACCTGCTGTGCCTTGCTTGCCCCTCCCAGCGTGTTCCCATGACAGGGCATGTGCCCCTCGCCTCCGCAGGCAGAGGATTCACTTGTACATTAAGTTGCAGCACTTTATTGCAGATTATGACAGAGAAGGAGACTTTGACTTTATGCGACCTGAAGGGACACTCCGCAGCTGGCGGCGATGGGTTTCTGTTGAGTGGTAGGTGTTGTGTCACAGTAAGATTTTTGGGGCGGTACCTTGATTCACGTTGCTGCATTCACGGTGTGAACATATGTGAACATTCGTGTGAACATGTTCATGATCAACGGGCTTTCGCTTTCTGCGACTCATCATATCGATGATGGATCCATGGGCACTATCGGGACCTTTACGCCCCAAAGACTTTGTCAAAATTTGTCAGTTGAGATGTGGAAGACATGCCACCAATCTCTCCGGCTGCTTGAGTCGGCGGCCCAAAGAGATTGTTTTGGGAAGGGGCGGTATGAGGTTCATATTTAGAACTTGTGATCAGGCTCAATTTGTGATTTCGCTTTAAGGATCGTTTTGAAATAAGTCTTTGAATGCTTTCGATTGTTTTCTTTGGTTTTGTATGGTCTCCAAGATTTCCAGGGATTGCGGGTTTTCCCTATGATTTCTTCATGGTCTCCGTGCGGTTCCATGGTTTTTGTTGCCCCTCCCATTATTTCTACGTTTTTAAAATAAGTTAAAATAATATGTTTATATAGTGGTTTTCGTATTTTGCATTTTGTGTTTTTTGAATTTTTGCCTTTTGTCTTTAAGCCCTACCAACAGGTGAGAGGTGCATATAGGTGCATGCATGATGTGCGGTTTCCGTTTCGTATGGCTAGTTCTGTGGTGTTTCGCAGCGTATCTATTTTTCAAACTTGGCTGCATGTATGATTTTGGCGTTTTTGTATGGGTCTATAGTGTTTTGTAAGTCGGCATCTTTTGTAAGTCGACATCTTCATACTGCATGTCAAGGAAGTCTTGTAACGCATCGAAACGCTCGTTTTCAACTTGCAAGGTCTACAGGTTTAGATTCAGGAGTTCCTGCATGTGAATTTATAGCAGACCGAGCATCTGTTCAATTTTATTTTTAGATCCACTCACTTTTGGTTTGGTGATGTAATTATCACTTGTCATTTCAGATTAGTTATTTTAGACATCCTAAGGGGGCTCCTATAAGGCAATACTTCAGCAGTCCCCAGAAGTTGTCAAGCGCCATGCCGTCTCGCCGACTCCATGAGCAGTTCTGATTCAACAGACGCGCTGCTATCCACTTCGGGTTGACCACGTGTCATTTCTTGCGGTCTTTACAAAGACCTTTCCCATAATATGACTTATCTTAACGTGCTTTCATTTACCTTGGGACTTGTGTTCTTGGATGCAAAATTGCGGCTTTACTGTTGGCCTGTACACCGCATAGTTTCCACACACAGGAGTTAGAGTCGTAGACTTTTAATGTTTGCTGGGTTGCATTCGGTGTCTTCTGGGACACCATAGTGCTGATTGCTGATGATTGCGGATCTTTATCTGCGGCATGTCATTTACACTGACGTTTCTCACTTCTGATGTTTCTTGGTACTGATGCGAATGGCCTGTTTCGACAATATTCCCGTACGCAACATGTCATGTAAAGGGCATGTCTTCCTTTTATTGCGTGCATGTATGGACTTGCGGCCCCCACAGTTTCGATATATGTGAACGGTTCTAGTGATCATAGCCTGACAAATCGCTTAGAAATTGTGTGCAGGTCACCTGTCAGGTATGGAAAGCAGCTGTTACATAGGCAGCTCTTCATGGGCACCACCTTGACACCGTGACAGGCGGCACTTGGATTGACATGCAATGGTCGCATGCGGGCAATGGCATGGAGCGCGATATTTTGCTGTTTGCATGTTGAATCATGTTGACAGTTTTTGACTATTTGCAGGCGTGCAGACGTGCTGTTTCCTTGCATCCGATTGATAGTTGACGTTTGTTCTGCAATATTCATAATATTCGCACCGCTTCGCGGCTAGGTCCGCCCGCACTGTGGAATGCAGAGGGCAGGGCCAGAGATTGTTTATGATGGCATCTGCGGGCACATCTTGCCGTATGTTGGGCCAATTTTGGGGCTTATTGGGACATCTTAGACGACATGTTGGGCACGTGTCCGCGCATGTTGGGCTCTCATTGGGCTACACCGGGCCGATCTTCACCGCATGTTGGCCTCATGCTGGACTCTACAAAGGGCGCTCATTTGCACCCAAAATCGGTGTGAAATGAATGCGCTGTTTGGTGCGCCTGGCGCTGTGGGTGAGACATATTCAAATATTTTGCCACCGTGGGCCACCACGTTGCGCACATCTTGTCGTATGTTGGGCCAATTTCGGGGCTTGTTGGGCACATCTCAGGATCCGTTGGCCCAATGTTGGGGCGATTGGGCGACATGTTGAGATACATTACATGACATGTTGGGTGTTCACCCATTGGGTCCCATGTTTGCCACATCTTGGCATATGTTCGGCGAATGTTGAGGCCACTGTGCCCCATGTTGGGCACATCTTGCCACATGTTGGGTTCCAGTTGGACCAAATTCGCCGAAAAGTCGCTTTTCAGGAAACCTCAAGACGGGGATTCTAGAGCAATAAAGGGCTCCCCCCAGCTAAAGCTGTACCACAGATTGCTTATGGCTCGCAAAGACACACCCTGCACCTTTGGTACGGGTGGATTTTTTCAATTGCATGGGCTTAAGGATCCAAGATTCCTCGGAAGAGATCTTCTCGTCATATGGCCAAACGGGCCGAAGCTCTTTGTTGTCCTTCACACAGTCCTTCGACTTTGACTCCGGCGATCGCTTGTTTGACAGGGAGCCTTGGAAAAGTGCATGGATTCAAGCATTCACCAAGACAAATTTGAATCCGAACTCCCTTGGCATGGATTCAAGATGATTCCTTTTGCATTTTGCTGATCTGATTGAAGGAAGTTGTGGGCAGTGAAACTGTGCTTCCTCTTGGGTTCCGTCAGGAGATGTTCGCCTCCTTTTTGGAGGACGCGGAGGAAGGAGAAGCTGACACGAAATCATCGCGCAGAAGGCGACGGCGACGGGCTCGACGGCAGGAGAAACGACAGGCTGGGGCTGGGCATCAAAAGAAGAGGCAGGAAGCAAAGAGGTAGGACATGGTCGGACCCAAACTTCGGAGAGCCACTTGGTTTCAATCTGCCAAGGATAAGGAATGCATGTCATCCGCGATTGCGTATTTTGCTGGGTCTTGTTTGTTGGTTGGCTGCATCCCTTCGTTTGTTCGGCGTTTCGGTTGGCAACTAGTGGCAGTGGGTTGAGTGAAATTGGACCCAATCCCCTCTCCCGTTGCGCCTGCAAGTGCTTGCCATTTTGCAGCACTCCGAGGATGGCACTGATAGAGGCAATGAGAACAGCACTAACAGCGCAAACAACAATGACAACAAAAAACAGCGCAACCCAGACATCAAACAACAAACAGCAGCAGCAACAAAAATCACGAGCAACAGCAGCAGCAGAAGCAGGAACCAACTGCATGGAACACGCATCCAACAAGAGTAACATCTATTGCCTACGACCTGTATCCTACGCAAACAGCACGCAACACCGCACCGGGTTTTTGGAAAAAAATACTGACGAGGCATCCGCTGACATACCCCTGCACCATCCTGCACCCCCTGTGGCAGCTATCTGGACAACCTCCGCGCGGTGGCTGCGGGTCTATGCATTGCTGATGGGCCTTGGCAGTGCTTAGAAACGAATTGTTCAGATGTGGTGCTTGCAAGTTTCGATTTGCTTCAGAAGATTTGGGCTGTGTCTTCAAAAGAGCGGAACGCATTGATGCATGCCATGCATGGCAATGGTGCAGGAAGCAGAGCAACAGCTCGCAAAAGGAAACAGAAACAAAGCAATAACCAAGCAAATGGCTTCAATTTGCAACAAGCAGGTGAGATTCTCAAACTACTCTCTCAGCTTTTCCAATTGTTGGGACTCGGGGGTGGCGGTGGGAATTTGCTTCAACAGCTCAGTGCTATGATGGGCCATGGCGGGTGTGCCAAACCCAAGAAGACTAAGAACAAGAACAAAAATAAACAGGGCGGTGATGGTGGTCTGGGGGATTACGGCCAAGGGGGTGGTTTTTACCCTTCTTCTCCTGCTACTCAGCCCCCGCAGAATACTTCGAAACCACATCCTAAGCAAAAGGCGGACGTCCAAAAACAGCCACACACAGAGCAGCAGCCCCACAAAACGCCCAAGACCTTTGCTGAAGTGGTTCGAGCCAACACTGCGTTTAAGCCGGTGTGGAGCCTGCGTCAGTCAGACTGGACGGGGCCCATTTTGGGCTTTGATGACTTTAGTGTCGCACTGGATAAGCCTGGAAATATTTCAGCTACAGTGCAAGTGAACTCGGAAGAGCAACTTGAGGAGTTGCAGGTTTTGCTGAAAGGCGATTCCCCTGATATCAAAAGAGAGCTCAACATCACAGCTGTGATGCTAGCGCCGAAAGAGGCCAAGCAGACTGAGGAGGATCGACCTTTGCGGATGGTGCCAGGAAAGATTTCGGGCAAGGTGCAGCCCAGGCAGGCGTTTGTGATCCCACTTCAAGGCCAAGGGCCATCACTCAAGAGAGCTGCCGTTGTGTCAGCGGCTCCTGCAGTGCAGCCTGAAACTGTTGTAGTGAGATTAAGTGTTGATGCAAAATATTTGCAAAACAACGAGTGGCAGAGCATCCAGGCCAAGCCAAAGGCAAACGCGCAGGCTTGGTTGCATCGGCATGTTCCAGAGCATGTTGCGGACAAAGTCTTTGATATGTGGGCGTTTCAGCAAGAAAGCATGAAAGGCGGAGGCAAGCCAGTGATCACTGGCCTTTTACGCATTGAGCGAAGTGCTGCCAAAGCTCTTCTAGGCTGCTCAGGCAAAAGTACCTGGTTTGTGGAGCCTTTGCAATGGAACAACTCCGTGATTGAATCTTGCGATGTTGAGTGGGTCAAGAAAAGTTCGGAACTTGATGGGCCCAGCTACTTGCAGAAGATTCAGTCCATGGCTGGTGACCTGGGCATTGCCCGGAGATGGAATGGACTGGGAGTACGTAAGCCCAGGAGCGCCGAGCCTCCTCCTAAGGCCAGAGCTTGGCGCGTCACTGGTGTTCCGCGAGATTGGGCGGCTAGTACCTTGACTCAGGAACTTACACGTGCTGGCCTGACTGAACTCAAGGTGTTGTCCCGGAAAACTGTGGGCAAACAAGTGGAATGGTGGGTGCAGGCCAATGCTCAAAAGGATATGGATTTCATTGAAATTCAGGCTGGCGAAAAAGTCATTGTAGCTGTTGAAGCTCCAAGACAAAGACGGCAGAGAACACATACCATGAAACTGGCTAGCAATGGAAGGGTCAGTTATAACCAGAGCCATGCATGGCAGGCGATTGCCACGCCTGCTCCTCGCAAATCTTTCTACATGGGAACGCCAGTCAAAAAGCCAGTGACTATTGCAGGGGCTGAGAAGGTTCCTGCTGAGAATTTGGACGAGGACAAGTCGGACGCAAAGATGGACAATGCTGGAGAACCCGCTGGGGCAAAAAGAACTGTCAGTACTCCTGAAAAGAGTCCTCCGGCCAAGCGTGTTGCGGGGGAACCCAAGCCCCCTCACAATATGAAGGTGAAAAGCATCCCTGCTGACGGCAACTGTCTTTTTGAAGCCCTTGCTCAAAGTTTGGGCGGAAAAACAGCCAGGAATGTGCGTGCAAGCGTTGTCACCCACCTGACCAAGCACCAGGGTCGTTACAAGCCCTGGTGGGACGGCAAGGAGCCAACAGAGGCGGAGAATGCTTGCGAATCATGGGAGAGCTATCTCACCATGCTCTCAAAGATTGGTGCTTGGGGCAGTGCTCTTGAAGTTTCTGCTGCGGCTGTGCACTACGATCGCCCGATCATTGTCTTCCAGCCTCGTGGGGTTCCGGAGATTTACAATGGTCGTGGCAAGGGTGGTGCTCCCATCGCTTTGTGGTTTCGTTCAAAGCACTATGAACGACTTGAAGGTGCTTTCCCTCCTGAAGTTTTGACTCAGGCCGCAAATGGTCCAATGCAGGGCAACAGAGGTGGAGGATCGGAATGTGGCGCTACTTCAGTTGGTGCCACCAGATTGTCAGCTTTGCCGTCACTGGTTCATAGCAACAATAAACGTGGAAGGTGTGCTAGCCCCGCGCCCGCCTCTACTTTGTCAGAGCAGCGCAAGAATTCTTCCCCTGCGGCTGCTACTTCGGGTCGGGGTCCGTGCACGCCACGTGCAGCCAGTGAAGGACAAGACGCAGCCAGTGCTTCGTCCAGACGCACTAAGCGTACTGAGTGGACATGCCCTTTGTGTGACTTTTCCACTGGGGTGTGCAAAGGATGGGTTGACAAGAAGAGAGCTCATATCAATGCTTGGCATCCCGATGAGAAGGAACAGTTGAAAATCGGCTTCAAAAACACGTTGCCTGCGCTGTCTGCGGTCAAGAAGGGAGGAGTCTATAGCTGGAAGTGTCCTGTTTGCAAACTTGGCTTGTCCGCTGATCACAACCTCAAACCTGGCCAAGTGTACAGCGTCATCCGCAAGCATAGGGAAGACAAACATCCTCAGGCAGATGCCAAGCTCTTCCACAAGGACAGCAGCTTCAGACGGGAGAATGCTAGCAAAGCCACGCGCCAGGTGCGTGCAGCTGCAGTGGCTCGAAGGTTGCTTGGCTTCAAGCGTGGCGATGCTGGAGCACATGACCCCACTTTCGTTACCATTCCAGCCACAGGAAATGGCAAACAGAAAAGAGTTGGAATGTCTTACGTCATTTGCAAAACTTGTGGCAGTATGGCTTTGACAGCGAAGCGTTTGGCAAAGATTGCTTGTGAACAGTATGCTTCCAGCAAAGGGCCCAAACGAAAGCAGTTGGTGGAAAGATTGCGTGCGTGCCTCAAAAATGCAGACATCAGCGATGACCTCAAGAAGGGTGCCCGCACAGTTTTGGAAATCATCGACTCTGGAGCATTTCGCACCACTGATACTGCAGCAGACAGCACGCATCAGATTGAGGCCATTGTGTGGCCTGCCAATTTTACGGTGCGTTTTGCTTGTGTGCATTGCAAGCGTTGTGTCAACAACATCAGACGGCTTACAGGAAGTCAGTGTCCTCGTAAAATGGTTTGGACTAAGTTTCGAAAGGGCCAGAGGGATATTTTGGTGCCTCTTGCGGCTCAGGCTCCAAGTGCCAGACAGCGAGCTGCTTCGCGAGCTTTGGACATTTTGGGATTGCAGCAGGATGGCGCTGTGGATCAGAACCCATGACGGGCTCTGACAGCACTATGCGGTTGGGGACTATGAATGTACGGTCCTTGGGAGGCCGCTTGGGTGGTGTGCTTGACTTTGCTCAGCTCCAGAATTTACATGTTCTGTGTCTTCAAGAAACTAGAGTTAACAATCACAGCTGGAATGCTGTGACTCGTGCCGTCAAGGCACGCGGGTGGCAACTTTTTCCTGGCCCTCAAGGAAGAAATTCGAAAAATGTAGTGGAAGGTGGTACATTGGTTCTAACAAAGTGGCCTGCTGAGGCCTTGGCCCTTCCTGTCGACATGGTGTCGGTGGAAAGATCCATGGCCGTCAAACTCTATAGACCTCAGCAAAGGCCGTTGATTCTCATCAATGTTTACTTACATGCTTCAGATCGCACAGCTGCCAGCCGTGCGCTGGGTGCGCTGTTCGAGTTTGTTGCTGCTTGTGGTGAAGATACAGTGATCATGGGTGACTTCAATTTGGAAATTCATTGTTGGCCAATTTCTAACGTTTTGGCTACTGGACAGTGGCGGTCCTGTGATGAGCTGGTTTGCGGAGATCGTGTTTTAGGTGGTACACATCGAACTGCTGCAGGTGTTTATACAGGTGTGGTCATTGACTATGGCTTGTGCACTCCTCGGTTAATTATTACTGGTAGGGAGCAACATCTTGGCGTGGCTGACCATGACGCGGTGGTTTACAACTTGCATGTGCCTGGTTCATTATCCACACCGTGGACTCTCCCAGTTGGTGCCCCTTTGCATTCTGAAAAGGTTGCTGAAGCTTCTTGGCTAAGTGCTTGGGAAGAAGTATGTGACGATTTTGGAAATGCATTGAGTACAGGCAACGTGGACTCTGC